TTTATGCAAAATAAAATAACGATTTAGGTAATCTTATCTTTTAAAAAATATATATCTTGTGAGAATAACCAAAGAAAAGAACGTTACGTGGAAAATAAAAATAAAAAATGAGAATTTTTAAAGATATTTGTCTATTATGAAATATGTCAGTAAAAAAGTTAAATTCGATTTTAGTATTGGGATCGCTTTACTGGACCCGTTCACGCCCGCCCCCCCACCACTTCTTTTTTATCTTCAAAAGCCCTAGCGCACATCTTGCATTCGCCCTCCTTACCTCTATTCGATCGGCGCCCTCGTCCCATCTCATCTCCTCCTTCCGCACTCAATCTCTCTCTCTCTCTGAAACCATGAGGCGCTTCGTGATCAGATCCCTCGAGTCGGCCATCCGTCGGGGCGGCGCCTCCGCCTCTTCCTCCCGCCGCTTCTCCTCCGACTCTGCCCCCGAGCGTAAGGTCGCGATCCTCGGCGCCGCTGGCGGGATCGGCCAGCCCCTCTCCCTCCTCATGAAGCTCAACCCCCTCGTCTCCAGCCTCGCCCTCTACGATATCGCTGGCACGCCTGGCGTCGCCGCCGACGTCAGCCACATCAACACCCGCGCTGAGGTTTGCAGATCTCCTTCTTTTTCTCCCTCCTCCTCCCCTCCCCCTCCCCCCCCCCCCTGCTCTCTCAATCCTGCTTATCCTGAATAGATCTGATCGGATCGAGGGTTTTGGATCTGTTTCTGTATGACTATGTAGGTCGTCGGTTATGCTGGCGACGAGCAGCTCGGCAAGGCCCTCGACGACTCCGATGTCGTGATCATCCCGGCCGGCGTGCCGCGGAAACCCGGTATGACTCGTGATGATCTCTTCAACATCAACGCCGGCATCGTGAAGTCGCTATGCACCGCCATCTCCAAGTACTGCCCTAATGTATGTGCTTCTGTGACCACAACCGGCAAAGATGTTTGTTCATATTTTTTCTTTTTGCGCAATCTCAGTGTTCCCAACTTTTTGGACTTCTAATCTATAAAAGGAGTTAAATCATGCTATTGTCTCTTGTCAGGCTGTTGTTACTATGATAAGCAATCCAGTGAATTCGACTGTGCCAATTGCATCTGAGGTGTTCAAGAAGGCGGGGACATATGATGAGAGGAAGCTTTTCGGTGTCACTACACTCGACGTTGTCAGGGCTAAAACTTTTTATGCTGGGAAAGCAAAGGTTCCGGTAGCTGGTAATGCTTCTTACTTTTTCGTTATAGGTTGTTTTGTTCTTCGTTTTGCTTAGAAATGTGTTCAATTGATGGATGGGATATTACATGCAGGTGTTAATGTTCCTGTTGTTGGTGGCCATGCTGGCATAACCATCCTGCCACTGTTTTCTCAGGTGATTTCCCTATATCTGATGTCTCCCCTCAACTGCCTTTTTTAATGCATAATAAGGATTTTTATTTTGTGGTTTTACTCTGAGAATGTTGATATTTTTAAAATCTGTACAGGCAACTCCTGCTAGTAATGATTTGTCTGATGATGATATCGAGGCTCTTACAAAGAGGACACAGGATGGTGGGACGGAGGTTGTGGAGGCAAAAGCTGGGAAAGGCTCAGCAACTTTGTCTATGGCGTAAGTCTTTATACATATTGTTTCAACTCTTGTTTTTATGTAGTAATAATATGATTAACTTTCAAGCACTGTTAGTCTTAGGTTCCATTTATTTATTTCAGACTGGTTATCTGAATGTTATGTAGGCCATATTTGCATAGTTTCAGTTGAGAAAGTGAGATCTAAATTTCGATCTTCACAGCTCCTTTAAAGCTATTGCAATTTGTAAACTTTGTTATGATACTTTTATTGACGTGTCACATGATTGCTTTTGCCACTAAGTGGGGATAATAAGCCCTCTTTTTATGTATAAACAGAAAAAACTTTATTCTGTTAAATTATTTAATTCATTTTACTGTTCTGGATGTAGTTATCCATTTAATTGTACAGTTAAGAGTAGGTGAATCGATAGAACGAGTGGATAGAAATTGGTAGGTCTTAAATGAGGGATTTATGTGGTGTTTTGAATTCCAGAGAGGTAAGCTGACTATATGTATTTAATTGTATAATATACCAGTAAAAAAATGTCATTTGATTTTAGTGCTGTTAGTATGATATCTTGGGGGTTAATAATACATCAAACTATCACGGCTTCTATAACTGATGAATTGAGAATCAGGGATCACTATCTTAATTACCAACTGCCCTATATTGAAGTCAAAAAGGTGCCTCAGTTAGGCATTTAGACCACTAGGGAAATATAGTTATCTAGGACTATAATCCATATACATGCAAATCTCCAAAACTCTCTCTCAATGCTCATCTGCATCAGTAGTGGTATAATTAATTTTTCAAATGAACGTAGTGAATGTCTAATATTTTATGGTTAACTAGAAATAGTTTGTAATCTGACAATCCATACAATTTAATGATTTTTGCAATGTAAGCCAGAAAATTTTGGACATGACTGCATTTGTCTTGGTACTGTCTGACTGTCATTTTTCATTGCCTTTGATTAGCTAGTTGGTTATTTCAAGTTTATTGATTTCATCCAAGTAGAAGCTGTGAAAGGTTAAAGTTTATTCTTTGTGTCTAAAGGAACAGTTTCATACAGATATGCAGGGGCCATCTTTGCAGATGCATGCTTGAAAGGTCTTAATGGAGTCCCTGACATTGTGGAGTGTTCATTTGTCCAATCAAGCATCACAGAGCTGCCTTTCTTTGCTTCAAAGGTTATTTAACAAACTTTTGTCATCTTATTCTGGGTTTATCGATTTTATGGAAGAAATTTCTTACCTAGCACCCATTACTGTTTCACACAATCTGCATCTTCTTCTTTCTTATACATGAAATTAGATATTTTGTCACCACTACATCGTCATCATCATCAACAACAACAAGAATAACGAGCTATAATGTCCAAACATTAACAACCCACCGTATAACTTGGCACCACTACATAATTAATGCAATTATTTTCTATGAAGATCATCTATTTGATCATATAGTTCACGAGGATGAACTCCTATGCGTAGAATATCATCTCATTTTTTGCAGTACCAGCTGGTTTTCTCAGCGACTGCCTATTTACATGTAGCTGCAGTGAGTAATCTAGTGTATCTGTCGACATTATATCTGACATCTGACTGTGGTTGTGATGAGTGAGACAACGTGTCACTCATCGACTCTCATGTGGATGGGATTTTATCATTTTCACATAATATGTGTAGTGCAAATTACTCTCTTTGTAATATATGTTCTAGTAGCTGGCAGTTGAATATGAACCGAGGCACATGTCTTGCAGTTGGTTCCAAAAAAGGAAATAAAAAGGGAAAAAGTTTGATTCCATGATATTCAGTAGTCAGACTGATTCCTCAACTTTTCTGCTCGTTTTTCACCCTCTTTTTAAAGTAATAATACTGTCAAAATTCTATATACCTCTTCCTTGGACACTGTTCACATGATTATGAACTTCATAAGCTTTAATGCTGTATCATAATGCTGAAGAAGTTGGTCACGATTCTGATTGCTAAATTGTTACAATTAGTTGAAGTTGTTGATCATAGGTGATTCGAGTCCTTCGGTGTCTAATAACTTCTGGTAAGGAACACATGTATTTATTTCTCTGTAAAGAACCATTGTTGTATTCATTCAGCTGCATGCCTTGGTCTTTCAATTTGTCAACAGATGTGATTGATGGTTGGTTTCTGTGCATATTTTGCTTCCCTCTTAGATAGAGTAGAAAATTGTTAATCCCGATCAGGTTCTTCTTTACATGGTGTTTCTTTACATGTTACCTTGATTCACCAATCTTTATTTGGCAAGCACTTTTCTTTGTGTATGACAAATTGTTCCTCGGTGTCTCTCGTGCAGGTAAGGCTCGGAAAGAATGGACTGGAGGAAGTACTCGGACTTGGTCCCCTGTCTGATTACGAGAAAGAGGGCTTGGAAAAGCTCAAGCCTGAGCTGAAGGCCTCCATCGAGAAGGGCATTAAGTTTGCACAGGAGAATTAACGAGCCCCAACCTGTGGGGTTCCCAGAACCATCAAATTTTTGATTTTGCATCTGCGGTTGAGGTGTCCTTATCTCAATGCCTTTCTTTTCTATTTTTTGGTCAACTTCGTGAGGCTTCCAAACCTGTAATAATAAATCATGCCAACTATGATTAATCTGACAGGCCGATCCGCATGACTTGTTTATTTTGATTATTTACACACACTTCGGATGGTTTAATTAAACTGGTAGGTTCACTGGCACAATTTCTTTGTACTTTCTGTCTCAACTCGAACTCTTCTGATCGTTATGTTGTCAGTCTTGTGCGGAAACCAATTGCCGATTACGTGCTTTGTTGTAGTCCTTGCGCAAATGTTGACGCAAGAATTGTTAACATCAATCAGTCTTTCGATTACCTGAGTGATGGGGTCCTAAACCCCGCTGGAGATGGAATCAGTCAGAGTTGCAAGGAAAACAGGCAATTAACTTGAGGCAGCCATCGATGGGCGTAGAAGCATTTCCTCGCGTGTTTGTCGTGTCATTCGTTTGGCATAGCTCAGGAGACCTACTAACACAAATCAGTGCACTACTAAAAGCACAAAACTCTCATCCTGAGCTTAATCGTATACGATCAGGATGAACTGACCCATCATTCTACATGGCATTATGCCTCGAATCCATTAAGATCGATTGTGATGCCGTGATGTGCAATTTCTCCACCATGAATAAAAGACGACAACGATAGGTATTCGCTATCGAAGACGCTGTAATACCATGAATTTTATTTTCTGCTCCTCTGTTTCATTGCCATCTCCCTTTCTTTCAAATTCTTCTCTTCCCTTTCTCTTTTGATTTGTGATCCTCCGTTCCTTTTCATCTTTATTAGTGAAATCTACTGGTATTACAGCTAGCTATACACCGGTCTTATGAGGTCATCCAAATCCATAATGCGTATCATCAAAAGTTCGATAGTGTTGGCGATCCACCACATTGCATACAGCGGTCCACGGTGTTTTGTTCGTCCTTCCCCGGTGAAAGAACCACTAGTTCTCCAACCTCACGGACTCGATCGATCCACCTAATTATATGCAAGTGTAGGCGTGCATTTAAAATTAATGTATTTAACTGAATTATCCTTTTTATATAATATCTAATTTTGTTTGTCTCTGATGATTTTATTTAATTTACAATTTTCTGATTTGAAAAACTGATGTAAAACCAATCAGTTTGAAAAATTATAATTAATATGTCTTGAAGGTATTCATATGTATGTATGAGATTAAAATAATAATAATATAATATGATATTAGATTATATAAATAAATTTTGATTTGAATGAATTAAAAAAAATCAAAATAAACTTCATAATTATGATCAAGTTATAGTTTGATTAAACGAAGATCGTACGAGAAAAACAATCAACCTCTCTCTCGGGAAGAAGGAAAGATGCCAAAAATATTAATATCATTAAAAATTAAAAGAGTTATATCGAACATACTAAATTTAATCGATAATTATAAGTTTACTTTTTTAAATGAAATTAATATTTAAAATGATATATATATTAAAGTTGAACATGTTTCACCAAATTCATCATTCTTTGAATTCTCACCCCTCACTCTAAATAAATATCAGTGTTTTGCAGTTAAAGGGACACTCTTTTAAGTGTGTGGCGTCCAATTTCTACGGCGCCTTCAATGGGCGCAACTGATGTCATGGAAACTTGTGGTGTGGCACATCAAGATATGGCGGCCCACATCTTTGTCACCTTCTCCGTCCTTCCCATTCATTTACTCCTCCTCAACGATGCACATTCCTCTTCGATGCTATGAACCCTCGTTTGCCCATCCTCTCTAAGAACCATAATTGCTGTGCTTGCCAAGTCAAAAGCATCTCCCACACCTCTCTCTCTCTCTCTCTCTCTCTCTCCTCCCACGACCTTGTATTAATTTGTGTTGGATCCAGTGATCACCTATGGTGTTATCGATTGGATGATTAGTACGGCAAGCACATGTTCATGCAACGCACACACAATGGGAGAGAGAGAGAGAGAGAGAGAGAGGTTCATTCTTGATGACCGTGCACATCCTGCTAAGATAAGTCTTTGCGTTATGTATCATCATCATCATATGCCCAGTTCACGTTCGTCGAGACCCCATCTCCCACGGCAAGCAACGTTGCCTGCGCTGCCGGTCGTCTCCAATCCCCCTCGTGGAGGAGACGAAAAAGGTGGTGCACAAGAGTACTGCTGTGGTCATGTGGTTCTTGTTCCTATTACAGGATGAACTCCAGCTATCTGCTTTCTAAGATCGACCGACTCGATTAACGCTCCTCACGAAAAGATGTTACCAAAAGAGACCGGCGAGATGGCCACAGTCTTAACTCCCACGGCTGCAGTAATCCAACGAAAACAAAGCAAACTAACCTATCTATCTCCACTAAGTTAGCTTTGGTGTTCTCCTTCTTCAAACATGTAGCCTTCATTCGGTCGTGATGGTAGGCTGTTCTTTTATTCTCATCTCCGGTCCTTTTTCTGGCTTTCTCCATCGAACCATGTCGTGCTCGATCTCCTTAATTAGATAGCCATCAATGGAGCGTGGAGTTATGGGAGTTCTTTAATTCCATCTTGTTGACGTTGAGACGGACGAGTTAACTGTGCCCCCATTGCTCATTTTGGTGCGCTGTTTCTTCTCTACTTCATTTGCCGCTTGACTTTGGAGGTTCAACTAAAAGCCATTCTTTATTGTAGTTAGCTTCACGCCATTTGTGTTTAGTCTTTAATAACATCTCCAGCTCAACTTAACCTTGTGCATCATAGATTTCACGAGAATACCGTATCTATCAGAAGTTGTCTTTGGATACTGGATAGAAATCTATTTATAGATTTATTTCCTTCTTTGGTGGTAATTACAGAAGATTTAAGGAAATATGTGTGGTTTTTTCTTCTTCCTTTTTTTAGATATTTTCAATCCAGAAGGTTGTAGTTGACAAATTAGGCACACAAAACGATCTAAAATTGGGAATATATTGAACCTTGATTTCCTCCTATCGATATATTTCTTTATCTTATTTGGCCATAAGACTGAATGGAATCCAAAACCAAAAAGTGAGAGAAAAAGGAAAGGGAGTAATTCATTAATTAAAGAGGCAATAAATTGTTATTCTCTTGACTTGTCCGCCGCTTCCATAAACTAACCTTCTCTACCCCCCATGACAGCAGAAAAGAGAGGTTGTAGTTATCCCTCCCTACAGGACCATGTGGCGCTGCATGCACCACGAGCTCCTCTGCGCCATGGCCACCAAATCCCTTCTAGTTCTGACTCGGTCCTAAGAACGCTTGGGATCTCAAGTTCTCCATGCACTAACCTAATCCCCAACCCCTCCCAACCAAAAGGAGAACCACTTCCGACCCAAGTACAAACCTCCTGCTTCGCAGAGGTAGTGAGAGCTGGCGCGACATGGAGACCCATCCTCCTCCCCTTGTCCACCGTAAGTGGCTGCTCTGCACCCTGGCCTGCTTCCTTGGCTACCTGCTGCTCTCCTATAGCCTTGAGAAAGCTTTCCGCCCGAGCACAACGATCGTGTCTTTCCCTGGGTTCCATGGCCCTGCTAAGCTTACTCTCAGCGGGGATGCGGAAGCGCCATCAGAGAATTATGTGGACGTGTCGCCTCCTTCTGAAGCTGTCATGTCCCCGCGGCCAACTACTGAAGCGGAGATGGTGTCTCCACAGCCCAGTGCGGCGGTCGTAGAGAATTATGTGGACGTGTCGCCTCCTTCTGAAGCTGCCATGTCCCCGCCGCCAACTGCTGAAGCGGAGCTGGTGTCTCCACAGCCCAGTGCGGTCGTAGAGATGGCTACTTCAGCAGAGTCTCCGAGCATACCGCTGCTACCACAGCAATCCACTTCGCAGGTGATCGACGAAGAGATCCTTACGGCGAAAGCAGCTGGTGCCGCGAGGAATCCGGAAGCTGACGGCGGCGAGGTGGGTAAGGTGGTGGAGAAGAAGTGCGACATTTTCGACGGGAGGTGGGTCTACGACCGGCAGCGGTACCCGCTGTACCGTTCCCACTGGTGCCCTTTTCTCAGCGACCAAGTGAGCTGCCAGCGGAACGGCAGGCCGGACTCCGACTACGAGCACTGGCGGTGGCAGCCTAATGGCTGCGACCTTCCATGGTCAGTACTTCTCATGCCATCGTCAGCTTCTTCGGTTGCTTCTGACTACCTGAAGGCAGTCTTGTTGCTGATGATTACGAACACGCATGAAGGTTTAATGGGAAGGACATGCTGGAGAGGTGGCGAGGGAAGCGAGTGGTGATCGTCGGCGACTCCCTGAACAGGAACATGTGGGAGTCGCTGGCCTGCATCCTCTACTCGTCGGTGCGGCGGAACCGCGCCTACGTCAAGTGGCACGGCTCAGAATACAAGGTCTTCCGAGCCCTGGTATGCTTCGCTTGCTTGCTTCATCATGATCTACTATGCACAGATTATACATGCATATTGCTTTATTTCATGAATTCTGATACGCTATCAAAAGTACGTGTGCAATCCCTGAAAGTCGCATCGGACGGTCCGTCCCATCTTGACTTTTCCCACCTGTTCATCTGTCTTAATTGCATCAATTATATGATATTTATTTTCTTTGTTTCAAATAGAAGGCCGGTTAAGAACAACAACAGAAGAATGTTTTTGATGGGACCATTGATGTGAAGTGCGAGATCGAAAGCATTTGAGGTGTTTACTATGTGAATCTTATAAACTTTGTGAATTAAATATTGTAACAGTAACCACAAATATATCACCATATTACTCCTATCTGGTCTCTCTAATATATATATATATATATATATATATATATATATATATATATATATATATATATATATATATATATATAGAATTCAAATGCTGCGTCGGGTTCGTGGGACGTACAACAGCAACTTTTCTTAGGAGGAAAGCTCGCGCATGCATGCGTGCATGATGCGCCTAAGCTCTGAACTCTTGAGACATAGTATCAAGTAGCTGGTGTGCACACGATGCACCACCGGGAGGAGGATGATACAGTATGGGGAGCGAGAACACCAACACAGTGTGTAGATAGATGCGCACAATTGTTTCGCTATCTCCGTCGAAACAAGATGCCACAGAGGTAGCTCAATTATTGAGGGGGGTAGCTCATCTGTATCGATTCTGGCGAGCTTAGATCTATCTCATCTTCACTGCAGTACTCCTCACACGAGAGGCGAGAGTACATTTGGGTGACAAGTCGTTCTCA